GTTACACGATACTGTGTTTAAGTCTTGTCAGGTTGAATTAGTTTTCAGAAACCTAACAATCCAACTTCATTGTGGCTGCTCAGATGGTTGAAACTAAAGGAAGAATTCAGCACAGTACTCTGAAATGAAACATGAAATTTTTAAGCATGCCAACAATAAGCCTAAGTAAACACTATAGAAAAATATGACCTAAAATGTGAATTACCATCAGTCAGGAAGCAATAGTGGAATTGAGCCAAAATCATGAAAGCTGTAATTCACTTTTCTCTGTGAGTAATACAGGCTGTCATCACATTTCTGTATCATTCAATCACATAATGTGTAGTGTCCATCTATACAGACAACTAAAAATGAGTTGCATGCAGTTCTCATTTTGTCATTTCTATTACTTCTGTTCACCACAATCAAAATTTATAAATGCTCTTTTTACATCCTGTTGTTGACATCTTGTTAACTAGGGAAGCTAATGGGGCAATTGGTGAACAAAACAGAGTATTGAGAAGAAGCATCTTATCTAGTCACAAAGGTCCACACACTCACACACAGAAGAAACAGAAGAGGAGCAGCCTAAAGCCTCTGCTATCTGGCCAACTTGCTGTAACTGAAAGACTGATACATTGCAGGGGTATGAGCTGTCATGGTGCTCTAGAAATTCTGAACAGACATTGTAAGTCATCTATCTGAAAAGGCTTCGCTTCAGTCTTTGTCTTTTGAATCAGTGTAATATTTATTACCCCTTCTAATTCTCCTAATTGAACTTTTTCCCATTTTTTGTTGTGAAAAATCTCCAACATACTGAAAAGTATAAATAACATCTCAAGACCTGTGCTTGAGAAAGTTTTGTTCAATTAAAAATCTAGAACAGCACGATTTCTCTACATTTTGCAGTAGTTGACAAGACCCACTTTCCAAAACATAGCAGATATATAATTTTAAATGAGAAAGCACTAAAACTGCAGCTTCACATATTTCTGTCAATATACATAAGATATTCTGAAGATCTAGAAAATAATCAGCCTCCCCTATTTTACTGAACATTTATTGAGAGTCTACTACATGCTATATGCTGGGGAGGATGTTAAATGCCAGACGATGAGTAAGATATGGTCCTGCCCCACTGGAGCTCACAGACCATAGAGAGGGGCCAGTATGTAAAGATCCATGCAGTACAATGTGACTTGGAAGTGCAATGAGGGACCAAGGGAGAAAACAACCAACTGTGTGTGGTTCAGGACTTCATATGACTGAATTATGTCTGATGGAAAAGATGATTTCACACAGAATAAACAACAGATACAAAATTCAAGCAATACCAACAACATAGGTTTGAAGGAATGGCTATATTGTCGGATAATAGGATTTTTAAGCAGAAAAGTGATACCTGATTGATTTTTTAAAGACTTTCTTTTTTTAATTTTGTCATAGTTGTAGATGAACAGCATGGCTTTATTTATTCTTTTATGCAGTGCTAAGGATCAGTCCAGTGCCTCACAGGTGGTAGGCAAATGCTCTGCCACTGAGCTGCAACCCCAGCCCCTGATTGATTTTTAAGGAGAAATTTTTACCATAATGAATGGTTGGGGCTGCAGGTGAGGGATTAGAGATAGGAGTGCCTCRCCTCTCTGGGAGCGATGAAGTAGATGCAGTTACTTACTAAGTGTGTACTGCATGCCACACCAGTGACATAATAACCAGCCTAACAGCCCTTGCCATCACTAAGCTTATAGTCTGATACAACCATTAGCTTGCTTCCAGTTGTCAACAAATAATCTTCTATTCTAATTCCATCTAGTATCTCCTCCCTAATCTTCCAGATTTGTACTTTCTAATAGAAAGCTGTTCTATTGATTACCTCCCATAAGAACTTAACACAGTTTCTCTGGCAAAAGAAACCACATCTTGTTTTCTTTACATCTTCTAGAGCTGGCATTGTCTGAAATATCATAAGATTTCAACAATTCAATGAATCCTTGAGATATTTAGGAAGAGAACAGAAATGGGGGGCCTATAGGATGTAGTGGGTATGAAAAAAATAATGGAAATGGCTTCCAAAATCTTTTGGTCGTAGGTGACAACAAACAAAAAAACAATATAATCAGATGAGGTAGAAATATCAAAGGATGAGGGGAGAGGAGAGAATAAATTCATTTCTGAAATGCTAGACTGGAGGTGTCTGTGATGCAGTTGATGTACCTCTCAATCTTCAAATCTTCACATGTGATCCAGTTGAACTTCTGATTTACAGGGGCATGAAGACAACCCGGATTGTTTCATTGTTGAAAAATAAATTGTTTAATACTATTAACCGGAATTTATAATGTTTAAAAAATTATTTATTCAGAGCTTGCTCCCCTAAAAATATTCTACTTCAAAGGTATCCCTTTGGGGGCTTTTTGTTTATTTATTTCATTTTGGGGTGTTTTTTTTTCAGTATGGGGGATTGAATCCAGAAGTACTCTACTACTGAGCTATATCCCCAGCCTTTTTTATTTCTTATTTTAAAACAGGGTCTCACTAGTTGCCCAGGCTGACCTCACAATTTGTGATTCTCCTGCCTCAGCCTCCCAAGTAGCTAGGATTACATACTACATTGTTGTACCTCTACACCTGGCTGGATTTATTTAAAATAATTCAGATAGCATCAATTGAACAAAGAAATAATAACTTGAACTTCTGCCAGTAATATTGGTCAGAGAATTTAAAAGTCATATGATAGAAATAATGAGAGTAGGGGAATACCCAACAAAAGATAAAACTAAGCCAGAAAAGAAAATAGCAGTAAGAATTTTTAAAAATATAAAATTTTTATATTTCTTTGAAATATACTGTTTCCTTTTTTATGTTGTGATGTGGATTTTTTGTTTTTCTATTTGTTTTTTATTTTTTGTTTCCTCCCACCAACCCCCCTTGGGCTATGATTCAAATATCTGCTTTTATGTAGAATTATATTTTAAACTTTAAAGAGTTGCGTGTAGTCCTATTTGACAGCCTAAATTAGTTCTTACAATAATGCAAGCTTCCATATGGGATTGTATAGTTAATATATTATTAATAAAATAACCACTTAAATAAATTTGATTCCTCTGCTATTTTAAAATTCATTTGTCTCTCCATTTGGTTTTGTAATAAAAAACTATAAACTGCTATCTTCACAAAGTAGAAATAATGGTATATCTCTTTTTCCTTTTTATAGCTATTTACCTTTAATTCTCTTGTGCAGAAGCATGAATGTTTTATAAGATTTTATAACAATTCTAAGTTTGTCAAATTCCAAGTTATGTAAAAGACTTAATCGTGCATTGTGCTACACTTGGACTAGAATTATAAAATATATGTATGTGCAGTTATTTTCAAAACCACAATACATTTTTAGGAAAAAAAATCATTTAAAATATTTTCTTTACCATATAGTCTTCAGCGAGCAGAGAAGGGCTTTTCTGAAGTGAGATTAGACAATAGAGCCAACTTCATTTTTTATGCACGTGAACGAAGAGGGCTTGAGGTTATTAGTTGAAACCGAGTAACCTTTCCTGGCTTTCATCTCTTTCTTTTCAAATTTGAATATGAAAAGCATATTCAAGTCAAAGACCATCACTTTAATGACATTTGGCAGTCATTTGATTTATTAGGTTTTAGAAAAAATTTTCCTTTAAATATTTCATCATACTATGCTAATCCTAGTAATATTGCCAGCTGCAGCCTTGTACCTGTATTAGTGGAGACAGAATGGTGTGGAATTTTCTCTGTCATCCTAGTAAAATTTCCATGAATCTACTGAATAATAAAATAGCCTTATTGAAATATTCAGATTTGAGTTTTTAGTTAAAGTGTCTTAGAATACATAATAAAAGAAAATGTCTTTTGAAAGAAGGGGGTAAAATTACTTCATCAAATATTGAGGGGGTTTGACAGCAATGGAAATTATTCTTTATGAGAATATTTTTACAATCAGATACTTATGCTTTTCAATTTGATTAATTATATGCTCTTAAATATCTCTGTAATCAGTATAGTCAATTTGCACACTGATGTACATTTAACAACTAATTTCCAAAAATTGGTTGTATTAACGGGTCTTATTTGGGGTTTTTTCATTGCTATTTGAAGTTATATAATTTATAATGGCATGTCTTTGAATTTACTAAAGAGGAATTTTGACAATACAAAGCCAGATTTTAAATTGTAGAAAACAAATTTCACTGAGGAGTTATTTTGGTGTGAACTAATTTTTAAATTGTTGTCTATTATTTGAAATCATTACTCAAGGAAAAAATTGTAACTCTCATCTAACGTCTGTGACACCAATATCTATTAAATGAGCATTGAAGGAAAAATTAAGCAAATATCATTTTAGTGGTTAATTCTGTGAATGTAAAATAAAAAATAAATTGTTAAGAAAATATGTATTAAATTAGATACAAAGATTTTCTTTTATTTGAAAATATATTACTTATTGTATAAAATATATTGTGGCAGAATATATGAGAATTAGCTGTAGTTTCTGCTGTAGCTAATGTAGATTCATATAGCTACATATATTAGCATAATAGTGATAAAGTGTTCAATAGGCTTTGATCTCTGAATAATTGAAACTTTCTCAGGTACTGTAGATTAAATAAAAGCAGTGATAAACATGTACTTTATTACATAGTTTGAAACAAAGCCAACTGATACTTGTCATTCTGAAAGCAATAGGAGATGAAGATCTCATAATCGTCACTCCTGATAGACTACTAGTGGGGTATTTATAGCCACAGATGTAAATCAGGAGACTATCGCCATGGCACTGTTAACTTCAAACCCTGGGGCATTAGAATCTCATTCTCTCTCTCTCTGTCGTGAATAATCTGTCATATGTAACATACAGTAGCATACAGTGCATTCCAGAAAAGAAACCATTGGCCTTTATATTTTATTTTAAATTGATAGTGGAAAAGAATAAATAATTTGTTCACTAGATTTTGTTTTCTTGTTGATTTTTGGTTTTGCTCTTTAAACAGCCATCAGAGAAAATTAGGATTGAGATCATAGCTTTAAAGCTTAATGATTCTCCAATAACCACAGATGACACTATCCAAAGGCTATTCATTGAGTGCCGATTCTACAGTCTCCCTGCTGAAGAGACGCCTGTGTCGCTTCCAAAACCCAAGAGCGGGCAGTGGGTCTACTATAACTATAGCAACGGTATGTATGCTTTATTTGTAATACAGACTCTTAGGTTTCTTATGTTGTCTATGAAGGGAATTAAAGAAACAAGCAGGAAGTTTAATTCTCTGCTCTTCCCATAAACTCATGGAATTCTTGTCAGGATAGATTTAAGAAAAGCTGAATCTGCAGCATAAGGGTAAGAAAATAAAGTTGAAGTACTACTAAAGAGAAAACCAACAATATTGGAAAATAGTGTGTCTAGCTGTCCCAGGTTTATACTGGGACAATACCAATAGGAAAATACCTTTGAAGTCTGCATTTGAATGTGATAGAAAAACATGATTTTTCAAAGGAGGAAAGGTACTTGTTTTTTAATCATATCACTCAAATCATTCAGTGTCCTAACTTGTCCACCTTTCTGATCAGTATCATCACAGATGCTTTTATAATACATGACCTGCCCTTCCCAGTGCCTCATGTTCAGGATGTTAGCTGAGGGGAGCAGGGGTTCCTCCAGCGCTGTTTCCTCAGCGTCCCACACAGCCATGCATTGCAGCAGGCAGATTTTCTCTCTAGCACTTCAGCTCTCAGCCAGTTGACAGGTCAGTCTACTGGGCCTGCACAGATCAACAGGCACCCTGTAAATTCTTAGATCAATCAACATTAAGGCGTTTTTAAGAGTACTACAGATCATCAGTGTACCATTAGAGAAATAAAATTAAACATCATACCAAACCACTGCAACTAAGGAGTCCTAAGTTAAAATGTGTTGTAAAGACAGAGTGTTGCTTTATCTTCAGCAAAACAGGTCATCTCGTGCTACTTAAACACTAATACTTTCTCTCACCAGTCTTAGAAATTGCATTCTAAGAAATATGTGTAATCATGCTGCTGTATCACCCTGTGCTTACCTGGTTTTTTGTTGGTGGTGTGTTTTGTACAGCATTTTTAGAAATGTGTTCATTGCTTGAGACAGTAATCTTGAGTATCCAAAGATCCGGTCTAGCCCTCCTGCTATCCACAAATCTTACTAATTATATGAATTTAAGCAAGATGTTTAAATTTCGTGATTCCTCATTTTCTTATCTAAAAAAATGAAGTGTTTTCTGAGCTCAAATTCTATAACTCTGTAATAATAGGTGGCTTGAGAAATCACATGGGAAATAAGTAGCGTGGTTAGGACCAGAATCTGCTTCCTCCTTCCTTTCATTCCCTGGATACAAAAGAAACATTTCCAAACATCTTTTCTCAGGCTTCCTAGAGATCCTTAATTGCCAAATATCAGAAAAGTAAACCATATCAAAATATTATTAGGTAAGGAATACTGTTCAGTTGTCTATTTTAAAGGAAGACATCCCAAGAAAAGAGAAAACTTATTTGGCTTTTGTATTATTATTTGTAAATATCAACAGTAGAATGTTTAGTTGGACTGGTAACAGAGTTGTTTTTTGGAAATTGATTGTACATTGAGAAACTTGGCCACGTAGCAGAACAGATGTTTCCATTTGTATAAAGAACAATGCAAAAGTCCTTCTTTGGATCAAGCCTGTGGTACATGCTCAAAGTGTCCTGAATTGGGTACACTCTCACATGACTACCTAATCTGAGAGTTTTGTTGTTGTTGTTGTTGTTGTTGTTTGGTTGTATTCAGCTTGGTTCCTTTACTACTAGGTCCCTTACTATCTAATTGATATTTAAAGAGTTTCATATGTTTCTAGTGAATTCACCATTCCTTAGCAAAAAAAACCAATGATCTATTAGAAATTAATTCACCAGAGTATTCACTATACTTTTCTTCAGCTTCTATTCTTAATAATGACATTTGACTATGTAGAATTTTTAATATTAATTGGAGAGAATTTTAAGGTTATTTAACTAGGTGAAGGGGGAGAGGAATGTATTCTACTTAGAAGCAAAATAATACTGCTTTATATCCGTTTTACCTGAGAAAATGACATCCTAGGTCATCAGCAAGTTTGAGAAACTAGTATTAACCTTGCTGAAGGTTTTATTTTATTTTCCATTTAAGTATGACACAATGAAAATGTTTATTTTAAGTTATTATATGCTCATTGCTGTCATGAAGATTCAAGGGAAATCTCAGATCTTTGGTTGATAAGCAACTATTTCATCTAATATTGTGATGATTTACCCTTCATTTGTTCCTTGGTGTAGAAGGTCAATATAATGTAGCTTTAAGTCTTCTATATCTCATTAAATGTTAATGAAAGTAATTTTGTGTCCAAACTGACTTTTTAATTCAAATGGAAAATCGGGAGGACAGTTAGTACATGCTGTGTCCTGTCTGATCATCATACCAACAAAGAGGTTAGCTGAACCTAGCCATGATTCCACCCTAAGAGATGTAGACTAGTGATCCCCAGGATTATTAATAATCAGACTTAGTCTTTATTGAGAAGTATTAATACCAGTTCCACCTACTCAAAACTATATATATATATATATATATATTCTACAACATCACATGGTACCCCATAAAGATATATAACTTTTATCAATTAAAACCCATGTATTAAAAAATCTCTCACTTCTGCTTGGAGAAATCCTTATATTCTCTATCAATGTCATATGCCAGAAGAAATGCAGATGGTTTAATTATAAAAGGTTGATAATTTTGAATCTTAGATAAGTTTTGCATTAAAGTATTCTCATCCCTGTAATCGTTATCATTGCCAAATTCTTCCTCCCATTAGTAACAAAATCTGATGCTCTACATCCTTTTCATCTTCTGAATTAAATTTTAATTGTTCCAAAAGATAGACTGTTCAATCCTCGGAGACTAAGGGCACASATCTGTATAAGTCTCATAAAAACTCTGGACGATTTCATTAATCTTTTTTCTTCCCACTGTCAGTTCCCTAGAAGGCTTTATTCAGCCCAGACAGCATTCTTCAGACCTACCATTAATCTTTTCTCCCCCAAACTATTTTCTTGCTTTCTCAGCATTCTCTGAGCAAAATTTTCGAGCCCAATAAAATACAAGTGTTTTGTTCTTACTACCAATGTCTAGCAAGTGATTTCAACTTTAGTTTTTCTAGTTTTGAGTAGGTGGAACTGGTATTAGTACTTCTCAATAAAGACTGAGTCTGATTATTAATAATCCTGGGGATCACTAGTCTACATCTCTTAGGGTAGAATCATGGCTAGGTTCAGCTAACCTCTTTGTTGGTATGATGATCAGACAGGACACAGCATGTACTAACCGTCCTCCCGATTTTCCATTTGAATTAAAAAGTCAGTTTGGACACAAAATTACTTTCATTAACATTTAATAAGATTTAGAAGACTTAAAGCTATATTATATTGACCTTCTACACCAAGGAACAAGTGAAGGGTAAATGTTGTAGTGTATATATCTTTATATAGATATAGATATATACATTGTATAATGTTCAAATCAAAAAAACCTTATRTATCTTCTCCAACATTTATAATTTTCTTGTGGTGAAAACATTCAAAATCCTTTCCTCTAGCTTTTTGGAAATATACAGTATATTATCAATATCTATATTCATTCTACTGTGCAGTAGAACAACAGAACTTGTTTCTCTTATTTAACTATAATTTAGTACCCACTGATCAACTTTCCACATTCCTAATTCCCTTTGACTGTCTCAAGCCTCTAGTAACCACTATTCTACTCTCAACTTATGTAAAAATTAGCTTTTTTAGATTCTACATGAGTGAAGGCATGCAGAATTTATCTTTTTGGTAACTGGCTTATTCACTTAATGATTTCCAGTTCCATTCATATTGTCAAAAATGACAAGGGTTTGTCCTTACATTCCATTGCATAGGAGGGTTATGTTCTTAATGATAGACAATTGAAGATCAACTCAAGTATTTAGACTACTGGTTTGTATCCTTTCTGAGACATATGCTTTCATTAAGTTTATATCAAAGTCTAGCAAGTTCTAGCCAGGCAAAGTGGCACAGGCCTATAGTCCAAGCCAGTCTCAACAAATAGAACTTCATCAACTTAGCAAGACCCTGTCTTGAAGTAAAATAAAGAAGACTGGGGATGTAGTTCAATGGTATAACAACCCTGGCTGGGTTCAATCCCCAGTACAAAAAAAAAAAAAGAACTAGCAAGTCCTAAATAAATGTGAAAATGTGATTTTTAATAGAAATGAAAGTTAAGTAGCTTAGCTTTTGGAAAGTTCTTATACTTTTAATAATTACCAGAATCTCCTTTTAAAGGATGTATTTGAAGTCTTAAAATTGTAAAAATTTAGATATTCAGAACAGGAAATTAATTATGGTGAAGCATGGTGCTCATTGGATCACAGGATCATGACCTAATCACAGGTAGCAAAGTGTCCCTGTTTTCCATAGTCTTCAACACAAGCTATTCAGTATTTTCCGATCCCACTTAAAAATTTGTCAAACAAATGTCAGGCTAAACAGTGCTTCTCAATGTGTGGTGCCTGACCAGCAGTAACAGGAGCTAGGCACTTATTAGAATCGTACATTCAGAGGCTCTACCTCAGGCCTGTTAAAACAGGAACTCTAAGGATACAGTTCAGTAACTGCACTTCAACAAGATCTCCAAGGAATTGTGATGCACACTAAAGGTTTGGGCTAAATTAAGAAGCTAGTGTATGCTTGTACAAGCAGAAGTGCCTTACTTCTACTTTGGTAGACTTTTGGAGAAATAAGCTTACTATCAAAAAACTAGAATTTTTTTTCAAAAAGAAATGTTTTAAGAAGTTTTAATTCTAACTATCTAGATTAAGTGTTTAAAATATCTCACTTTTATGAAAGAGTGAAAGGAAAAAAAATGAGGTCACTTCTCTTGATACAGTTATATTACTCTCTCCCACTCCCACTTTGTGCTTTTAACAAAATGCCCACATCTTAAAAAGCAGGATGAGTTTGGGCTTCATATGGAAGTAGAAATACTAGCATGGAGATTAAGAAAGTAGGCTGGGGGACTGACATTGCCAAATTCAAATTCTGACTCTGCCTCTTTATAACTTGGGTATCTTGGACAAATTCCTAATCTTCTCTGAGTCTCTTTAATCATCTGTAAAATGTGGATCAGCATGGTTCCCAGCCCATGTGATTGCAGTAAAAGTATATAGTACCTAATACCTAAGTATCAGTCAATAAATTCTAGCTACCATTATTTTTAACTTTAAGAGAATAGAAAATATAGTATACTGGCCACTTGAATGAAGTAGAAGCACAAGGAATCCCCAACTACATCATTTTTATTGTTTGTTTGGTTTTTTAACCAATTTATACAGTGAAGTTTTTTTCCTTAAGAAAAGATTATATAAAGTTTCACCATATGGTTTGGCAATTCCACTTCTGGGAAAATACTAAAACAAATTGATGGAGCAAGGATGCAAAGAGATGTTTATTTGGTTTTTTGTTTGAATGTTTGTTTTGGTTGTTGTTTGGTGATTTATATTTGACCCTTTTTTATTTTCCACATTTTACATTGGTACATTATAGTTGTACATAATGATAGGATTTGTTGTTGCATAATTGTATGTGCACACATTGTACAAATATAATTTGACCAATAACACTCYCCAGCACTTCCCCCACCCCCGTCTTCCACCTCTTGGTCCCTTCCTTCTACAAATCTCCCTTTCATGTTGGGAGATTCACACCACCTTTCTTTTTCTTTTTGTTCTCTAGCTTCCTCATAGGAAAGAGACATGTGACCCTTGACCTTCTGAGGCAAACATATTTGTACACTTCTGCTCACAGGTGCACTATTCACAGTAGCCAAAAGCTAGAAATAAACCAGATGTCTATTACAAGATGAATACATAAACAAAATGTATGGTGTATGCAGACAATGGAAAATCATTCAGTCTTTTTTTGGTGGGGTGTACCAGGGATTGAACTCTGCGGCACTTGACCACTAAGTCATATCCCCAGCCCTATTTTATATTTTTTTTAGAGACAGGGTCTCTCAGAGTTGCTTAGCACCTCACTTTTGCTGAGGCTGGCTTTGAACTGGTGATCCTCCTGCCTCAGCCCCCTGGGAATACAGGGGTGTTCCACTGAGCCCGGTTTACTCAGTCTTAAAAAGAAATAAATTTGATATATGCTACAGCATTAATGCTAAGTGAAATAGCCAGATACAAAAGATAAATAATTTATGATTCCAATTAATGGAAATACCAATATTAGTCAAATTCATTAAAAAGGAAAGGAGTGGTTGTTGGTGGCTAGGAGAGAGAGGAATGAGAAATTGTTGTTTAATAGGTACAGAGTTCCCAGTTTGAGATGATGAAAAAATTCTGGAGCTGGATTGTGGTTGGTGATGGTTGCAGCTAGAAGGTAAACGTAACTCATGCTACTGAATTGAGCATTTAAAAATGGTTAATGTTAAATATATTTTACCACAATTTTTTTAAGTTTTAAGCCATTGAAATTCATCAAAAGTGTCTAGGTTTGATTGAAAGACCTTTTATTTATGGTGGATGTTGATACTCAGTCTTTTTTCCCCCTTTTTAATCACTGTGATTGCCCTTGTCTTCAAATGATATAAACTAGTATGACATAAAAGCCTTATAACTCTGAAGTAAAAAAGGATATCACATACTACTTCTTGAAATAGTGATCAACAGCAAAAACTGACAAACAAAAAATCCCATTTGAAAAAAAAAAAGTTGCTATTTAGCAAGGTCTACCAGCATCTTGTAAAAATGAAATACCTCCCAGCATTAGTGAAACTTGTCTGTTAATAAGACTTTTTGGCCTTGATAAGTAAAACAAAATTCTCTGAACTTTTGTCTTTATTGATTTCTGTTAATCCCAGTGAACTATAAAAAACTATAAAAAATGTGACTATATGGTCACATTTACTGATATGATGTCATGCTAAAACCAATGCGCCAGGACTCACTGTTTGGCCTTTGTTCTCCAGATTTGATTACTAACCTGTGTGTCAGTGATTCTCCTTTCTCTTAAACCACTCACCCACCCCTACACAGACGTCTTTATGTCTCCCACTCCACGTTCCTACCTTGGTACTGGACACATCTTCAGCCCTCAGTTAGTATTTGCTCAACTGAGCCAATTAAAATAGTTGATATTATCATAATTTGGAATGGAATTGAAATTGTCCGGGGAAACACTTCCAATATGGAATTTGTTTGTTCCTGGCAGAGCCTGAGGAAAACTGGCTTTAGAATTGTCATAGTATTCTTCACCCTATGTGCACTTTTGATCAGGGATAATCTCTAAATTGAGATCTGGTCATGGGGGAGCCTTTACATCCAACTTGGCAGCTGAAAAAGAAATGTCTTCAGAAGCTAAGCACGGCTGAAAGTCTGCCTGGCTGAGAAAAAATAATCGGTGAAAATTGGAGTGTTCACACTCTACAATGCCACTTCCCAAGTGCAGAGCTTGCCTGCAGTGTCAAGTGCTTACCGCCTCCTTCCTGGTGGACTTTAGATCAGTGATCTAATCTCACGTTGCAGCTAAGTGGAACCTGGCCACCTTCCTGAATGCCAGCATGTACCTTAAAAACCAAAGACAACTTGGCACCCTAAAAAGCCTCTCCCCTTCCTCCACTCTTCTCTCCTGTACCCTCCACCCACACACCAGCACACGTCAGCCGTGGGTTTCCTAAGCCCGGTACACTAGATGCCTCTTTTATTGCATGTTGTGGCAGGAGAGGAGGATTAAATTACTGAGGCTGTCAGAAAGGACAAGCACTCTGCCATACATTATCATTATCACTCGCTTCTTGGGTGAAAGAAAATGCAGTAAATCCCTCAAATACAAAGCAATAAAGACCGCTGGCTTTTACTGTCATGACTGCCAGTGCCATTAACAGGCAGTGACAGTGATGTGGCGCTCTTAGATGTTGCTTGTATCTTTTCTGACAGTGTGCACATAAACCTGCCAGTGACATGACATCGGATCACATGACTATTCAGACTTGATTCTGGTTTCTGGAGCTGTTTTCTTTTCCCAGGTATACAAGCAAGGTGGCATAACTTGTGTCTTTAAAAACAGGTATTTATAAAAATACAGAATGTCCTAATGTAGCATATTCCTGAGTGACTTCTTCTTGTGCATTTTTTTTCTTTTGATATAGTGATCTACGTGGATGAGGAAAACAACCAAGCAAAGAGAGACATCTTAAAAGCTATACTACAAAACCAAGAAATGCCTAATAGAAGGTATATTTAAGAAGTTTGAATTATCTTATGTTTTATATAAAGTAGATCTCTTTAGCATGATGTGGTTTAAAAAAGGGAAGGAGGCAAAGATGAGAAATCAGAACATATGGGTTCTCTGACTCACTCTGTGTGCTTGAGTGGAGTTCATGACTTCTCTGGGTCTCTTATCTCCCTGGGTCTCTTATCTCCAGTGGCCCTGCCTATCAGACAGACTGACCAACTGTGGGGATGCCAAGTGCTTTGAAGACCAGAACGCTGTGTAGTGTGTAGAAAGTATCACGTTGCCGTTCAAGTGTAACTGTAAAGGACTCAGCGGGTTGAAGGAAACACCACAGGCTGGGGTTTGAATTTCTGTTCCATCACCTACTTGCTGTCTGACCTTGGACAAATTACTCAGCCTCCTGTGCTTAATTCTCTTCATCTGTAAAATGGAGATGATGATGATGCTGTCTAGGGTTGCTATGAGGACTAGATGGGATGTGTGCAACACGGATAGAACAGCACCTGACACACAGTACACAGTGAATGTCCACTGCCTTCATTGTTAAGCAGTAGCATTTTGAACAGCTCATCAGCTTTTCAGACTGACTTGAATCTTACTATCTTATTTAATAATTCATATTATTTTCCAGATGCCTTTTTTTATTTGAATAGGACACTTTGCAAATCTGATTAGTAGAGTAAATAAATCCTTTTCATAAGGAAAAGGCTGATCTTAAGAAGTTAATATTTTCTGGGTGAGCTCTATCCATGTCAGCCCCTGAGCTGTTTCACCAGTGTTTTTCTGGCTCCTATCCCTTGGCCTGGGTAGACCCTTTATCAGTCCATTCTCCTCTTTTCCTTGCCTTTGTGACCCCGAGATTCCATAGCCTCAAAAATGATGCTCATCTGAGAAAGAGAAAGTGAATGTTAAAGATGCTATGTTCAGGGCTGGGGTTGTGGCTCAGTGGTAGCGCACTTGCCTGGCATGTGTGAGGCACTGGGTTTGATCCTGAGCACCACATATAAATAAATAAAATAAAGGTCCATTGAATTAAAAAAAAAAACGACRCTATGTTCTTCAAAAGAGCTTCCAATCTAGTATTTTCTCTTCTGTTTCAAGAAGACAGACTGGAATTCTTAGCTCTCGGGATCTAAGAGTACCTTTCTTGTTGGCTTCTTGAAATACGAGGTTCCACTTTGTCCAGGATTCTAATCACTCCAGTTTGACTTGTCTAATTCCCATTTTTCAGCTTTTTTCAATACCCCCCATAAACCCCCAGTCTCCCAGAGGTATCCCAGCAGGTCACCAACCTCACTTTGCTCTCCCCCAGGTCCACAAGGCAGCTAAGCCAACAAGCCCAGCCATCACTGATAGGGTGGAGCTCTGTCCCCATGTGCCAGTCCTGGACCAGGCTTAGTAGTCTCTTTAGTCCCTTGTCTTCTCTGTGTCCTTATTGTTTCTGGAATGATAGAGCATGTTGTAAGTGACACTACTCCTTAAGGGAAAATGACTTTGTTTCTTCAGACATGTGGGAGGTTTTTAATTATTTTTAAAAGGCAGATACTTTCCTTTCAAACCTGCCTTTGCTCAGAAGACCCACTTGTTTATACCATAATAGGTAAAAAGAAAAAAGTCCATAGTAACTGTGATGACGCCCCCTGCTTCTCTAAGAAATGTCCAAACACCTCGCCACAGAGACATAAGCMTTTGTGTTCTTTTTTAGCAAAACTGAGAGAGGTGTCACAGGTGCCAAGGGACTGATCCTGAGCTCACAACTGTTGTGTGAGCACTTGGAGTGCTGACCTTCCTGGGAGAGGATGGCCTCTACCCTCCTAAGGAAAATAAGAGTGACATTTAGTTTTTCCAGGGCCAAAGCCCATTATTGTTCCAGTGCATGTTCTCAACTTTTCTAAGTACTCAGAGGTCATGTTACTTCACATTACTTCAAGTAGCTCCAGGTTTGTGATGGCTCACTCCCTCCGACTGCAGCCCTGGTCCAAACTGGTAGTAACTTACAAAGCCACAGTAAGAGAAGTCTTCCAGTCCTTCTGGACATGTCTAAACTTCGAGACATTGCACAAGTTGTTTATAGCACCTTTCACACTGCCCTGCACTATAATTGGAATTTACAAGTGACACCTTGAAAGAGAGGTCACATATGGAGATGGGACTTGAGAATGATTTACTTGAACTTATTGGTTTGACACTGATTCAGTTCTTTTAGTTTTTCTCTGTAGCAGTATTTTATCGAGCAGATCCACCACTGAGGAAGACAGGCTATGATAACAAGTAAACAAGTAAACCAAGTACATATTGTGACAATCAGTAACAGAAAATTTTAAAATTAAATGCTAAGAGAAAATGACAGTGATGGCAAATCCAAAGAGGTGACATTCAAGATGATTTAGGAAGGGTGAGAAGACCCAGTTACTGCACAAGAGCCCAGGAAGAACCATCCCAGGCCAAGGGGATTCCAGGCAGGAAGTAACATGCAGTGGGCATCCTAGGACCAGGAGGACAGTTAGCAAGGCTGTTCTCTGTCAAGAGAGTCYCAGGAGGGAGAGGAGGAGCAGCTGGGGAGCACGATGCGCTCACCTCCACTGGGGACTGCCATCTGCTCCACTTATGTGCACAGCCAGGTCCTCAGCCTGGGAGCCTCTTGGGGACGCAGAACAGGTCTTGCCTCTTTGTTCTGGCAGAGCAGAGGTAAGATGTAAGGTGTCTGTGTGCACAYAGTGTGGCCAAACTGTTTTTACCTTTAAGATTGTTCCAGTGAACTTTCCTCCTTTTTGAGCTTAACTTTGCTATCTTATTTTGCTCTCTATATAAAGGCAGAAATGTTTCATTTTTACACTTCTAGCCCTTTCTCTAGAATTGGGAACATTTTCTTTTTTCTCATTTTCTCTCAGATTTCTCTATTTTCTGTTCAACAGAGGTAATAGCCTGCATTTGTAAAGTGGTGTAGATATAATTCTTAAATGTGAGGTTAAATTTTATCAGATATAAAGATAYATGAAATAACCAGCCATGGTGGCACATGATTGTTATCTCAGAGACTGAGGAGGCTGACCAGCCTCAGCAACTTGGACCCTAAGCAATTTAGCAAGACCCTGACTCAAAAATTAAAAGGATGATGGATGTGGCTATAGTAAAACAACCCTGGTTTAAAATTCTTAATACCAAAAAATAAGGAAATAAAATTTTTGTTAAAGATACTTAAAATACATGAAAACAGCACAACATTCCTGCAATCTTGGTAGCTTCTGTCTCTGCGTAAGTTTGTGTTGTAAAATCTGTATCAGTTGTCATTTCTAATTCCTTGCCTTCCAATCACATTCATTTTAGGACAAATTCTGTGATCTTCAGTCATTTTGTTTAAATGAGTGATATAGCCAATGTATAATTTGGAAATCTGACTAACGTTTTAATTTAAACAAGCTTTTCTCATGCCAACTCCTTTCTCTTCCCTACAAATATAGAAGCTAAAGCTGCTCTGCTAGATTTTAAATAGGAATAATAAAAGAACAAACATTTATCCAGTGTTTACTATGTTTCAATCACAGTTTACTCATATCTTCTCATCTATCCTCCAAGAACCCTACAAAATAGGTATAATTATCCCCATTACACAACTAAAGAAACTGAAATCAGAGATTAAATAATTTGTCCAAAGTCACACAGTAGAAAAGCAGGAATGTGAACCAAGAATGGGTGCCCTAAACCATGCCATCTTATTAATCCCTCTATTTTATATATTATATAAAATATACATTTTACCCACTTGGAAAGCCTGGGTCTGTACTCTTCATAGTCATTGTGTGAATAAGTGTTAACTTTGATTGTGACTTARGGATTTCTATTTTCTAATCAAAACATTGCTAGCTAAAAACAGGAACTTCATAAAGGAATGAAAAGCTGAATGTTTATCTTCGGGAAATTGGTTGAAAATATTGTCATGTTTACCTATAAGCATTTGGAAAGGATTTTATTTGTATTTTTCAAGGCATGATTTCTCAGAGACTTGGATTTTTATGTTTCTTGTTTTGTTTCTGATTTGGGATAGATACATTTCGAAAGTTTAAGATGGTAAAGTTTACAAGCATCCGTGGTTTAAGCTATGCTGCCAAGACATATCAAAAGAGTACTTAACTGTAAATTCCTGTCATTTGGTCAATCCAAGTGTGTTTGGCCTCAACACAAGCCACTAATTCAAATCAGTTCCATCAGAACCCTACAATTATGTGTCTAAAAGTAAAATAAAACTTGGATTCTATGATGGTAAGTCAAGAGATTGCTAAGTAATACAAACATTTGATATAGCTGTTGGGCAGAGCTACAACATTTATCTAACATGGTTCAGAGTGTTGCCCAGGGAGCATGATCCCTACATTTTGTAGAACACACACAATTGGTTAAATTACTTAGTACCAACTCCAGAGGTTGTGCATTGCTAAAGAAAATGGGACATTTTTTTTTTCTGTAGAAAATGCTGATCATGTAACCTCATGGTCTTTATTCACTTCATCCTTTTAGTCTTAAAAGTTAAGATACCAAAACATTATCAGACCCAGGCACAGTGGCACATGCCTGTAAGCAACTCAGGAAGCTGAGGCATAAAGATTGTAAATTATGAAGCCAGACTCAGCAATTTAGTAAGGCCCTAAGCAAGACCCTGTCTCAAACTTTTTTTAAAAGGGGTAGGGGTAGGGGTAGGGGGTGGGAATATGTAGCTCAGTGATAAAGCACCCTGGGTTCAATACCCTGTACCAAAATATATACACACATATATATGATTAGACGTTGCAGAATAGACCAAACATCCCGTCTTTCTCTTTGTCTTAGATTCTAGAGATAAATGCCATTTAGTGCTTAGAAAGTGGATTAACGTTCAGTTGAAGGTTAGGTATACTATAACAATTCTAATAGTTCATTTAAGAACTTAACTAACCTGCTGTAACTTTCTTTTATTGAGATCATTGGAAATGTCTGGATTTCATACCTAGTGGCAGTTTTGTTTCTTAGAGACTTCTCACTTGGAGGTGATTTTCTCTGTCCTCTGTCCTCAGTGTTCGTTTCACCGTTGTCACCGACCCCCCAGAGGATGAGCAGGATCTGGAGTGTGAGGACATCGGCGTTGCTCATGTTGACCTCGCTGACATGTTTCAGAAAGGGAGAGACATCATTGAGCAAAATATCGATGGTATGAGTGGAAGTGTTGCTCAGTTTGCACAAGCAACAACTGCTAAAGTCCAAACTCTTTATTAAAACCTCTGTGCTGGCTACAAGGAAGCTGAGTCACATCARCTGAGTCCTTTGCAACTCCAACTAATGTCCCCCTATATCCCTCCCCTTGCCCTCGCCCTCTGCTTTCCTTTAAACTGATAGAAATTTTAAAATAATTATTACACAAGGAAGTATTCACTTTTTTAGTATGGGGTGAGAAGGTGAAAAAAGTTGAGTTTCGTTGTTGCTGCTGATATTGTTCATGGAAGTCTCATGTCAGCTACGGCACTTCAGCCTTAAGAGTGATTAAGGTAGTCTCTTTCTCRAGTTTTCTCTGTAATTCAATGTTACAGCCCAGTGATTTAGTCCCTCTAGCAACCAAGTAGGTTTGCTCACTCATTCCCCACCAGGATTCAACAGAAGTAGGGGCTTCCTGACAAAATCTGCTCTCTCAAGTTGTCATTTCACCAGGTATGACACCCAACAGTGCTTAATTCCTACCYTCTCTTCCTATATGACATGCTGACAACATGCTGGAAGAATTGTACTTTATGAATCAGACTTTTACGAAGAGACTAGAGCTGTAGCTCACTGATAGAGTGCTACCAGTGGTTAGAGCCCCAGCAATGCAATTTTAAAAAATAAATAAATAAGTAGTTAACAGACTTTTGACAGTCATAGTCAGAGAAGGCCTGAGCTATTTACAATAAATGGAGAAATTCCCAAAAAATAAAAATAAAAAGTAAAGATTGATTCCAATCTCATTTGTTAAGTTAGAACTGTCTCTGAAAAGATGTCCCTAGCTTGTTTACTTCCTGGCTCATGCATTCAGCATACACGTAATTGAGCACCTCTTAAGTTCCATGCATTGGTTCCTACATGGAGCTGCTTGTCCTGGATATGTGTCAAGTGCTCAAAAGTTAGAATTTATCCAAATAACAAACCAAATTCATCAAATAACAAGATTGGAAGACTGTTCTAGGAAATCCCTCCGAAGTATACATTGCTAACCTTTGGCAGTTGCTCATAACTTTGGCTCTGAAGAAAAAGAGGAGAGGAATAAAGTATTTATCCCAATCCCATTAAGGATTCACAGGATCAAGGGAGTCAGACAAAAGTGACTAAAACTATCTCTGCTTTATATTCTTGATCTCTGTTTTTTCCAATCGATTGTGTTTAGCAACCCACCTTCTCTTCCTGTGAGACAAGTGACAAAAATGGACTGACACAGTGATTGTTATGACCACATTTTGGGAACAAGCCGAAAGATTGGGTACTGGGTCAGGTCAGGATCTTAATGCCTTGTCATCTGTCACTTAGAAGTGAGCAGTCCCAAAGGAGAGGTGAAAACTCGGGAGAGTGAGCTGGGACCATTTGTGCCACTGTGCTCCCAGCTGCTCTTTCTCCACCTAAGCCCTCGTGTGCCAAGTTTAGCTTGAAGGCCTCCTTACAGATTTTCTTGAAATTAAAATACACTCAGAGCTGAATGTAGTGGCACAGTCTGAGGACCCAGCTATAAGGAGGCTAGGGCAGGAGAATGACTTGAATCCAAGAGTTCAAGGCCAGCCTGGGCAGCGCAGCAAAATCCCATCTCTTAAAACAAACGCACGCGCGTGTGAACACACACACACACACACACACATGTCGGGCACAGGAGTACACGTCTATAATCCCAGCTACCTGAGAGGCTAAGGCAGGAGGATCACAAATTCAAAACCAGTCTGGGCAATTTAGTGAGATGTTATCTCAAAATAAAAAGGGTTGGGATGTAGCTTAATAGAACCCTGTTGGGTTTGATTCCAAATACTGCAGAAACACACGTACAAGCAGTTATTAAAGTTCAAGGAATATAAACAGGAAGTACAAAGACTCATAAGTGTTGTGAAACTTACAAAGTCTAGGATTCTGGCCTTGGACTACTAGGTCATTGTCCACAGAGTGTTGAATCARCATCCTACAGGGTCAAGCTTGGAGAAGTCCAGTGGCCTACTTTTGGGCACCACTCAAAGCAGTGGTCCCTCTGCTGAGAAAAGCCAGTATACATTCAAAAAGTTCCTGGGCCTTTGGAGCCATTCCATAGACTTAAGATTGCTGGGCCTACCGATTTGGCTTTTCCTAAATTCATGTAGAATATACTTTAAATGAAATGTTTTCTTTGGAAAGGTAAATAACCAGTTCAAATCACAATCATGTGACCTCTTTACAGTGGTTTGCATTCTGAAATTTGTTATTATACTGGACATTAAAACAGATCTACTTTGTCATCATATTTTAGTCCTTTTTAGACCTTTCATTTCTTACTAGCTTAGAAATTTCRATTCTGTGTGGGAATCATCCAGAAGCTTTTTCACTAGGTGAACTTTAGGGTTAGATCGTTAGTTTGAGCTCCACAAACAGTATGTACATGCAACATATCTAAATTGCACATCTTCAAAGAGAAGCTTTATGTTTTAGATTTCTGAGATGCCAGTGAATTTTAGGCTTTTACAAGAGCTCTTTTCATCTTCTCAACTACTGTTTCAGCYACTTCTCTCAAGAAACATCTGATGAATGACACTAACACTTTTCTGCTCTTTTCTCCCTAGTTTTTGATGCACGAGCAGATGGTGTAGGTATTGGCAAGCTCAAGGTAACAGTTGAAGCTCTCCATGCCCTACAGTCTGTCTACAAGCAATGCAAAGGACTAGGAGTCTTAAAAGGACCTGCTCCAGAGGCATCTCCTACTTCTGAGTAAATGCTCACTTGAAGTTTCTGGATGAGATTGTGTGTAATTACTCTGGTTTGTATAATCTATAATTCATGGGGAGCAGGGAAGCAGGAATCCTGGGTTTGAAATGTTCAAGTTTTGTATAGTTTTTCATTTGTTTATTTTGCTATTCCCTCTTTCCCCTGACTGCTGCCCCTCAGGACTTCAGTTCTCCACAATGGGCAGCACCTTCTCAATAATTTATACCTCATGATAGCATGAGAAAGCCTATTTGCATTTTCAACATTTTCTTATGAAGAACTGAAATGCAATTCCCATTTTTATTTTTAATAAGCAAAAACATAAATCTTAGAAAACCTATGAAAGAGAAGATACTTTTATGTTATCCCTAATCGTCCCACTAAATGGAATGCTTATGATTAGCCTCATTAAGAGTTTTATACTGTGAAGATTTTATTAGAAGCAATATATGAAAATTACTTGGATTAATGTGTTAATCTTTCTCTTTAAAATGCTAATATCCATTTTATGCACATTAAAGCTCAGTATGCATTTTCTTTGATGCATGCAGTTTCTATCAATTAAATATAAAGAAGGAGACTTGGCACTAACTTACTAAATTACTGCAAGTTTTTTGTTTTTCTTTCTTAAAAATTATAGTTCTTCCTATTTGTATTATTTTCATGTATTCGTATTGGGTGATAGGGGACCCAGGGATGTATGTGTATAAAGAAAAATGATGGATAGATGGATGTGAAATTTACACTTTGAAAACTTAGCTCATGACATAGAAATTATTTAAAGTGTGACTCAAATTCCGATATGCTTAGTTAGACCTGAAAGGAGTATCTTTTTATCATTTTTTAAATTTACATCAAGCTTAGACAATGCTGGGGTGTATCTGGATAACCAGATCCTCAAAAAGCAGCTCAGAAAGTTAATTTTCTAGCTTTTACCCAATCTCACTGAAGGATTTAATTGATATTTTTAATGGAGCTGTGAATCAATGCTGCAAAGGAATTGTCTCTAGAGGTCTAGGATATAATGCATTTCATTTTTTAATTTACTTTTTATTTGTCATTTTCTTCAAAGGATTTTTATAGGCTGTGGGTTTTCACTGTTTGCAAACAGGCTATGTTCCTTCTTAAGCATATGTAAAGTATTCAGGGAGATAAGTAATTTATTAAAATCTACCTAATTTGCCGTGATATATTAAATCTCTGCTTCAGTGATCACAGACCATTTCATTTAGAGAATTAGGCATTCCCTCTTTGTGTGATTAAAGCTCTGGAAAATGAGTTCTTTGCTCCTATTTGTGAACATTCAAAGCCTGCTAATGGCAAGAAGATGGAATAGATTATGAGACAATTCATTACAGTTCAACAGGAAAAAAAAAGCAGCTATAATGCAAAAATGCAAGTATGAATATCTGCATATAGTTTGAACCATCTGTGCTCTAATGGCTTCAATAATGACTCTCGTCTTTAGGAGGCTTTGAAATGACATCCGTACAATATTAATTTGTTGATGTACATTGCGGGACCAGTAGAGTATGATCTGACCACAGAAATCTATAAATTCTGTCTCTACCATTGAGCCTCCCTGTCCTGGGGCCTGCCATCTCCAAGGAGAAGCTTGTTCTCATCAAACTCTGCAAATCTTCCTAACAGCTCATTCCTCTGGAACCTTCTAGAGACCACAAACATCTGCAGACAAAACCTCTCCAATCCTAGTAAACAACCACATGTTTGTTGTCACTTCAGCTGGCTCTGAGCTCATCTTTTTGGCCTCTCTTTCTAGCTTTCTTTGGCTTTATGCAGTTACAGTGTCATTAAGGCCCATAATATTCCCTCCAGTAATTTAAAACAGCCAGATTATACCCTGGGATTAACTGAGTGGTTTTTGAGACATTTATTGTGGTATTCTCCCAGGAGGTTTGTATTATTGTTTTAAAATGTTACATCCCAAACTAAATACCCTTTCTATAGGGAAAAGAACTGGATTGCACTGACTTCTTAGGATCTTCAAGTAAAGAGGGGAAGTTTTTATTAGGAAACTTCTGAGAGCTATTCATCGGTACAGAATGTAWGTCTCAGATAAGATTAGAGAAGTAGCCATGTTTCTGTTGTGTTCATGTATACTAGAATATAATATCAAAGACTTCTCTTCTGGTTTTAAAATACTCAGCTTCAATTCTTGCACACTTTCACAACATTCATTTTCACACACAATGGCTGCTGACACATTTCAAAGTATGTCAGTAGTATTGAGTGCTATCATATATGGAAGTCCCTTGGGATATTTTTGTGTTTGTCTTGTGTTAACCAGAGTTCAYTGAAAAGTTCATACCTTTTGGGTTCACAAATGATGGTTTTCTCTCAGTGAGCCAAGCATGATCCATTAAGTGTGACTAGGGTGAGGGGCTGTCAGGAATGGCCTTGCCACACAGACACTCCAGTTCAAGGTGAGGCTTGGATGAACTTAACAGCTTTTAGTGTAACTATGCAGTACACTCAGCACTTTTTGGGGCGGTAATGCTTTTAGTTTGGAAATATAAATAGAGATGTGATGTGGTATGTGGGAGAGTGTATTTTACATGTTTTTTTGCCTACTGTAGTAGAAATGTCAAATTCCCAGCCACTGTCATGARAAGCAGTTGACAAAAATAAGTCTTATGGTTTACAGTGTGGTTTACGTAGAGAACATTTCTCTTCACTCTCAGTTTCAACATGTTTTCTAAATTATCATGGTTTGTTGCCGTTTAACTTAAATTAGTTTTTTTAAAGAATAAATAGAGAATATGTTTAATCAAATAAAGAAAGGCCACATTGAAATTCTGCTGTTCCTGCCATTCATTTGTTACCACAAAACACAAATAATTTCTATGTGTTATGAAGAAGTGTGGGCTGAGAAGTGCTCATGTGACTGGGGAGGTTCTGCGTGCACCCATGTTCCCACAACAGAACATAAATTATTTTAGTAATCTGACATCAAGAGCTGTGACAATGAAAACCAGTTCTTACACATGTTCTAACAAGAATCTGATTAACATTTTTGTGGATATGGAAAATAACTTTTTTTTTAGTCAAACTGGCACTATTGCTGAATTTAGAATGCTTTCCTTATGTACTAAATAGCAAAATGTGAATCATGTCTGTGAACAAATATGAGAATAAAATGTCATCTTTGTGTAATACAAAACAACTGAGGGAGAGCTTTGGGGATATAAAATTATTGAATGATTGACAATATCAGGATGATAATTCATCCCCAACGATGAAAGTACATTTTTATAAGTCACTCATGCCTGAAGGCCTCCGACTACCTTAACAAAGAAAAACTAAACCCATGATTTATTAGAGATTGGGCAACATGCCTAATTAAATCCATGAATGGGAGCAGACGCAGCTTTATATCCTCTTTGTTCAGAACAAAAATAACTTCCAGGTCAACCAGAAAGCTAAAAAAATATCAAAGCAATAGAAACAAGTGTTTTAAAAACTAAAAATATAGAAGTAGAAAACACCTCCTCATCCTAATCTTTATTATCTTGCAAGATAGAATTTTCACTTCCATTTCAAAGTGGCACCAGTGGAGTCCACCTTATAGTCTAACCTTCTGCAAAAGTGGGCCCATGTTACAGGTATAGGTGGCCTTTGTCCTTGCCCCTTCGTTTTCTACGTGACATTCACTAATASAGTAAGTCGTGTTTCTCCTTAGGCCTTCTCAAGCGAACGCTGGTACTTTTACACCACGACCTCTTTTCTGAGGTGAATGCCTCCTGCTCTTCCCCCTTCTCACTCTGTAGAGATTCCTTTTCTCATCCTCTAACAGTGTCACCTCTGTCTTCACTGAACACTATTTTTTCTCTGTCTCTCTTTTTTTTTTTTAAGTGGTGCTGGGGATTGGAACCCGCGGGGCTTTCCCACTGAGCTACATACATCCCGAGCTCTTTTTATTTTTTGAGACAGAGTCTCATTAAGTTGTTGGGGATTGAACCCAGGTGTGCTTTACCACTGAGCTGCACCTCCAGGCCTTTTAATTTTTATTTTGAGACAGGTTTGCACTAAGTTGTTTAGGGCATTGCTAAGTTGCCGAGGCTGACCTCAAACCTGAGATTCTTCCTCCTCAGCCTCCCAGGTCACTAGCATTACAGGTGTGCACCACCACACTAACCATGTTTTCTTTTTTGAGAAAATCAGCAGCTTGGGCTGGGGATATAGCTCAGTTGGTAGAGTACTTGCCTTGCATGCACAAGGCCCTGGGTTCAATCCCCAGCACCACCAAAAAAAAAAAAAAGAATCAGCATCTTGATTTTCATATTTCTGTCATCTAAATTCCTCCTTCCATCTGCCTAGCTTCCTGCGMGTATTTTTCAAGTTCATCAAAGCATATTTTTTTTCCCCTTCCTCTTTCCTGTTTCTTCTCTTGGAGCTACAACTATTTATTTAGATACATGCATCTGTGAAGGCTCCAGCAGCTTTCTTTGTGTGAAAACTTGTCTGGTTTTTGGTTGTAGGTGTTTGTTGTTTGCTTTTTGAGATGTTGCCCAGGCTGACCTCACTCAGTACCCCCATGCTCAGCCTCCCGAGTGAGTGGCTGGCACTGCAGAGGCGCCCAGCTCAGGCAGGGTGAATGCCTTCATTTAACATGGCAGGGGCACACTGCGTCAATCGTTCTGAACCTGAAGGCTAATTTTAATTAATGCTAAACATGCAGGCTAATTTTTGTATCTTTTCTTCTTGTATCTTTTTACAAGTCATGGAGACAAAACTCAGAAGGCTCTCAGGAACAACCGGCAAGAGGAAGAAGGTTTTTAAAATTTTAAGAAAATGTTAAAATCAAGCTTTCTTTGGTACCAATATGTTTTGCTATAGTTACATATTAACTGATAAGTTTTAGGAAAAAACTTAAAGAGACTATGCATACAATCTAGAAGCTGGGAAGTCTTTTCTAAAGAGAAGAAAAACAGGCTGTAAAACACAAAATAGACATATTGGATATGTAAATGTGAAGACAGTGTGACA